ATAGTAGCTGTATTTTGCTACTTATTTGCAAGGTGGGAATTTTGAGACTGCAGATAACAGATGAATCTTGGTTCCCTCCTCAGGCAAAAGCAGCCACTTCAGTGACCACACGGGATGTGCGCCATCACGGAAATTCCAGTCTGTGTTTCTTGTTGTGACTGCCTTCTTCCCTGACTGACTTCAGGCTCTGTTTCTATCTTGAGGGCTTCAGAACAGAAGCTCAGGAAAAGACAGACTTCCAGCATCAAAAACTACCTGTGGTTTTTATTAACAGTCACAGATGCCGGCTCCTCCTAGCCTCCCGTCTACATTCATTCTAATGCAAACTTGCAAGTTTCAAGCCACTACTAGTGAGGTTGTCTTGATCCCTGCTCACTTTTGAGTTCTGAGGCTGAGGAGTTCCTACCTAGAAAGCAGTCTCTGATAGTGCCTCACCAAGACAGCTTTCCGGCTATGTAGAGTATCCTGAGCAGACGTTTGTGCTACCTCCGAATCTTGTACATCGTTCAAGGATTATGCTTCTGCTCCATAACTAGTGCTCTTTTTATGTAGTAATAAAGTACTCAAGCACAGTCCCTGCTTCTGACCTCTCTTAGCACCTAGTATCCCAGTTCAAGTCTTGCTGAGCTGAATTCCTGTTGCAGCCTTGGGGACATCTCTGAAGATCAAGTGGTTAAGGATTAGTAGGGGCAAGAATTCAAAGGCAGAGCTCTGTGTGGAAAGACTGTATTAGGGGTCAGGTGGTTTGACCAAGGCAATGTGCAGGGACCAGTAGCTCTTTTTTGGAAGTGCTATCCAACTCTACCTCCTGGGCAGGGTAGGGCAAGCCCCACCTGACTCCTACCTTGAAGTTCTGAAAAGCCCACAACTAGAGTCAGGTCTGTGACTGTAGATAAAATAAATTGAGAAAACAAGTTGGAGTTATCAAAATAACCTTAGTTCTCAATTTGGTTGGTGCTCTGTTATTGAGCAGTCTCTAGAGCCCTTCTTCAGAGTGGTCCAGCAAGAAATTGGATTAAAAAATTCCAAGCCAAGTCTCCTTGAAAGCATCCTACCCCTGAAGAAAGGGAAGACTCTGGAGCCTGGGCATTTTTACACCCAAAGTTTAGCATCAGTGGAATGACCTAGGGGAAAAATACTCCATTGAAGGCTGTGAATACGGTTAGAAGGAAGACCTGGAACAAACTGCAGAGGATTCCTGATCCAGTCCTTCAGTTTACATGTGCTAAGCTAAGTACAAACAAAAAATCAGTAAGAACAACAGAAAACAGTGAAGCAGCTTACCAAGAGTGTCACACAGTTAGTGAGAGTGTCTAAATGTTTCGCTGCTTATCGTTAAATAAGTTACAGTCCTTTGTTATCCATAAGGGGCGGACTCCAGAACCTCCTTGGACACCAAAGTCTGCAGTTTTCAAATCCCTTACATAAAGTGACATATTTGACACAACCTATACATATCATATTATACTTTAAATCATCTCTGGGTGACTCATAATGCCCAATACTATGTAATGTGATGTGTAGTTCTATGACATTGTTTAGGGCATGATGACAAGAAGAAAGTCTGTACATATTCACATAGACAAAATCACGGTAGGCCTCACTCACTACACAATCAGTCCACGTTTGGTTGACTCTATGAATGTGGAGCGCACAGATACAAAGGCCTGGATGTAACTCTCCGTGGGAATTTGTTTTCTCAACTATAAAATGGTCAAGACCCTCCCTAAGACGTTTTCTGGTCTTAATAATCTTTGGGTTGGTAGAATTCTGTTTAAGGACAATTGTATTTCAACTCTACTCGTTTAGTCACTAATTTATAATGTGACTCTGGGCATTTTTCTTTGTGGCACTCCTGAGACATATCTGATCTTATAAAGAAGTGGAATTTACTGTTTAAGATGAGCCAGGGGACCCAGCTTCTCCACCTGAATGGGTTGGATAGCATACAACCTAACCAGATCCCCCTCAGCCCCACCTCATGATATCCTGATAACCTCCTTTAGAAAATATCCAGGTAAGAGCCGTCAGATTTCTCAGGCTTCAGTTAGGGATAACAATATTCTTTGACATCTCTTGCGTGCTTTGTAATTTACAAATCTGCCTGAGTACAATTCCCATCTCCACCTTCTAATTATGTCTTTGGAGGCAAATTATTTAATCTCTGTTTCAGTCCCTCAAATGTAAGTTGGGCCTGAAAATAACAAAATAACAGTGCCTATATCACATTTGTGAAGCATAAATGCCACCATAGAGAACACTACCTGGCATGCAGCCACGGGCCAGCTGCTGTTGTTATTTCTTGACACTTCCTGATGCCTCACTCTCCTTGATCCTCACCTTCCACTACTTTAAGAATATCCAGACAAGATTCTAAATCTAAGGCTTCCAACATCTATGATACACAAAGATTTAGACCAAAAGTTTTCTGTCCAAAATTAAACTGTGTTTGTAAGAATAGATTAGTAACTTCAGCTCTTCCTGAGCAGACTTAATGTAGAAGGTGCATGGCTCTTTTGAGTAGAGGTAGCTTTCGTACCAAATTTGAGGTACACTGGAGCTACAGAGAAAAAGAATAGACAAGCTGATAAGAATCTTAAATGATAATCAAGTCTTAGGCCAACCTTATGTTTCACTGGGGGAGAAACTTGGGACCAGAAGGATGAGGTGACTTGTACAAGTCCCCTAGCAGGTTGATAGCAGGACTGGAAAAAGGGCTTGGGACTCCTTGTCCTAATAACATCCAGGCCTGTTTCCACACACACAGCTGTCAGGGAATGAGCTGGGGAGTGGGTGTCAGCAACACTGCATTCTGAGAAGGGATCAAAAAGGGAAGTCCGTGAGTGAAAGTGACAGGACCCTCGGGAACATCCAGAGCTTCTACATATGGACCCTTCACATAAGGCCAGCAAAAGTGACAGTGGAGCCACCAAGTCTGTCTCCATCAGCCCCTACTTGTCCTAAAGGTGAAATATCTGAAATAAATTACTAAGCAGATACTGTGGTAGCCCAAGCCAATAATCAAGAGACTTTGTTCAAATTCCAAATTCAATTTAAAAGCCCTACCTTTCTGCTTCTTAGACATTTCCCTTGATGGGGGATGGGGCTGGAGAGATGGCTCAGTGGTTAAGAGCACTGACTGCTCTTGCAAAGGACCTGGGTTTGATTCCCAGCACCCACATGGCGGCTACGAACTGTCCTTAACTCCAGTTCCAGGGGAATCTGACGTCCTCTTCTGACCTCCGCAGCACTGCAATGCCAGGGATGCAGTCACATACACGCAGGCAATATACCCATATACATAAAATTAAAAAAGAAGTTTCCCTTGAGGATTTCCTTCCTGGGCTCCCACAGGGCTTAGTCTGAAAGATGGACCTGGCACATCACAAACCATGCTGTGTTGTTAAGTAGCCTCTCCCAATGGCTTCCTTCTCCCTTGTCCCCAAACAGTGTAGTAAATGCTTTTAGTAGAGGAACTGAGCCTTAAGCTTTCTTGTCTCCTTGCAGTTCCTAGTGTGCAGATCATCACAGCCATTGGGTTAAACCAAAAGGGCCCTTCTCCCAAATGGCAGTCATGCTGCTCTTACTCAACCAATCATCTTCTCTTGTAAAGGAATGACATTGCACCAATAATCAGACCTGAATGCAGTAAGATTTCAGACACATTAACAAAACAAAAATAGAGCGAGAAGAAAAAAACCCAATTTACAGGAAGCTGGGGGCGGGGAACCCTTGCCAAACGCATTGGTGTTATTAGAGAGAAAGCTGTGTATCTATAAAGCAAGAAAGGAAATCCTAAGTAAGCCCCACCCCCATGAAGCGCTCAATCCATGTGACTATAGATGAGTTACAAAAATGCACTCGTGGAGAAAGGAGGGATGCTTTTCTCAGCTCAGGTTTTCTCAGCTCAGGTTGTTGTTTAGTTGTATTAAGGTTTGCTTCCACCATTTTCTATTTTTATTTCATTTTACTCCTTTAGTTAGATTAAACACAGTTCAGAAAAATTAAACCTTCTTATTCTGGAAATAATAAAACTATATTATATAAACCACCTCAAAGTTGAACATCTGTAAATAAGATATCGGCTATAAAATTTTCTAGTCATGTTGATACTTGTGAGAAATTATGCTTGTGTCCTTTGAAATTGGTTCAATGACTATGTGCATGGTACTTTCTATAGAGAGACACAGTTATCTATGCACATACACAGATATTGATATAATTTTCAATAGTTAATAACTGATCATAACAGCATACAGTATAACCTTTAATAGTTAAAAAATATGCGTAGTGCATATACACTGCTATAAGTAGTTCTACGTATATAGCTACTTGTGACCATAGCATATTTATGACTGGAAATATCATGCTTAAATATATGTAAATTTCTTATTTTCACCTGGAACCTAGAATAAACAAATTTTCATTCTGTCAACTAAGGCACATAAAAAATACATATGTTAAGAGAAAATGTATTACTTCTCTTGCCCTGTTTAAGAAAACAAACTGGGCAGGGTGGACACCTGTAATCCTAGCACTCAGGAGGTTGAGGTGGGAAGAGCTTGAGTTTGAGGTTAGCCTGGGCTACAGAGTGGCTCTCTGTCTCAAAAAAACAAACAAAACCAATAATAACAACAAAACAAAACAATTCCCATAAATTTGTAGTTCTTGCTTGAGAATCAGTAGCTTCAACTTCTAACTTCTCGAGTAGTACTAGGCTTAAAGGATCTTATAAAGCCAGGGTGGTTTCACGGAATTGATGATCCTGCCCTTCACTTGTGTCAGACCCTTTGCAGGGCAGCAAAACAGAATGGATCTCAGACTTTGCAGAGACCTGAGAATAGGCACTACAGTTCCTGAGAGCATTTCCACTCTAAGTCATGCACCTGCAGGCATGTCGCTTTCTTCCCAATCCCAGTGTGGAGCTGGGTTCCACAGGAAGGTGAGAGAAGCTGTTCAGACTTCGTACTGAGTGTCCAGGGAAATGGTCAGTTACTTACCACACACTATCACTGCCTTTCTCCAGGGGGTTTCCCATGGGGTCATAGTATACATCCACGCTGAGGTTTCGATCTGTGTCATGAGCTGAGTTGAAGTTGGTGATCACCCGGGAGGGAATCCCCAAGGACCGCAGCACTACAAGCCAAGGTCAGTATGAGGATGCTGGTTGTGGTGGGGATGGCATACCCCATTACTGCCCACTGGCCCAGAAAAGGCACATTGTACCCAAATTACCTGTATTGAGGGTCCCAGCAAAAACCCAGCACTGTCCATATCGGACTGGCCTGAAGCCAGATTTTTTCCACTCCTTGAGGATCTCCACACTGCCATTCCAATTTCTTGGGTCCCGGCCACCTGTGTAACTGCCACTCCAATTCCCAGCAAGCACACCGTTGTCATCATTGCTATTGATCTGAGCAGAAACAGACCCCCCCCGACCCCCAGTCCAATGAATCAGCAGCATGTCTTTCCTACAAAAGTGACTTGCAGAATTCAGAGGACAAGGTGGAGAGATGAAGAAGGAAGCCATGGAGCCTTGAGTTTACTTTTTCTGTAATGGTGATTGTAACAAATCCCTTAGGGTGAGTGGGTAGTTTACGGATTTAGAGGAGCTTTGCTTAATGTTTGAGTGCTCTTGATCTACATAAATTCTGTGCTGTAGGATGACATGGAAGAAAGATATCCCACAGTTTGTCAGCATGGGTAAGGTCAGAAGTCCAGTTTGCAGAGGATGATACCTGCGTGTTTGTGGGGGAGGGGTCCCGGGACTTGAAACTACGTGCGTGTGTGTGTGTGTGTGTGTGTGTGTGTGCGTGCGTGCATGTGTGTGTATGCATGTATGTGTGTGCCAATCATCTTTAGAATTTTAACAGCTAATGTTTTAGAAAAAATAAAGATGGAATATTGCTGCTCATTCCTTCTCTTCTTCATCCCTTCTCCATGTGTTCATTTAGCCATTCAACTTGAGGTACAGTTCTAATGTAGGGACTGTAATGCGATGTAGTTCTGTTTTTCCATTTTTCTTGGAGATATGTGTGAACTGATACCAAGGTTGCATTATCTGGGATTCATCAAGTCATCTGTGGTGGAGGGGTCAGAGATGAAGGGAGACCAGCCTTAAGTGGACAGTTGTTGAAGCTGGTTATGGGTGTGTAAGAACATATACTTTCCTTTTTACTTTTGTATAGGCCTGAATTTTTTCCCACACTAAAAGTTATGAAAGAGAGCTGAGGATGTAGCTTAGTAGTAGAGTGCTTGCCTAGCACGTGTGGGTGGTGGGTTCGATCCCAGCATTGTTTTCATACCTGCTCATCACCTTCACTCCCCACCACAGAGAAATTGAGGAGAAACTCAGGTTATAAAAGTGTTTCCCTTGCCACTTGTCTGCTTGGTGATCTTGGGAAAGTCAGTTCACCTATCTGACCCTTAATCTCTTCACCTTCTAATACATGGAAAGTGAAAACCACATGCACTCAAAATGCCTTTCCAGTTTTCTGAGTTCTTCAAACTTTGTCATTATTCACGGTGTACAGTGAGAGGTTAGACCTGGACCACCACGGGTTCCCCCAATCTGTCAGTTCTATTGCTGCTATTTGGAGCATCTACAAGTGTACCAAGGCTTATGAAAGTGGACAGTAGACACAGAAGGGTCCTGGCCCTGGACAGGCCACCGAGGCTTCCCTGTCTCTCAGCCCAGTAGTGAGTTCTATAGCTCTTCCAGGAGTATCAGGCAAGCCAATGCCTCCTTGGAGGTGGAAGATGTGCTGTCCTTCCCCATCTCTTGAGTCAGAAGTACTCCAGACCCCAAAGTGCTAATCAGTAGGGTCATCTCTGGCTAAAAGCTGAGCATTTCAAAGCTCTGCACAGGCCATAATTAGCTCCTGGCCCAGCCCAACAGGGAGGTCTGGAAAGAGCATCAGGGAGGTGCATCTGAGGAAATTGGCTCCAAGATAGAGTAGGTTGGCCCCAGGCTGAAAGTGAGTCAGCAGCTGCAGGAACCAGCTGGTTTCAAGGCTGGTCTCACCTACTACCTTTGCAGGCAGAAGACTTAGCTTATTAAGTGGCCCAGAACTTCAGCTTTATTTGGCCTCTGTCTCCTTTGTCCAAGCTAATTGTTTTGCAAGGTTGAATCCAATAGTCTTTTGACTCCATCTTCTTTCCTGGCTATTCTAGGACTCATGGATTTGAAGGTTCTGGTTCTGGGGGTCAACTCTACTTCTATTCTGCAATATTCTGTTTCAGACTTTCAAGAGTACTCCCTGATTAACTTGAGATATCACACAGTCAAAAGATTGTTCCTATTTCTAATAAAGTAACTAAACTTGGCAGCTTGGAGTGGTCCATCTTAAAAGAAAGGAGGCCAAGGTGTGCTTAAACCATGGACTAACATGAAGTTAAATATATTTCTGGATAATTATTTAGTTCAAGAAAGTTAGAATGAAAAACTCAGCCTTTGGAGACAGGGTCCTACTATGTAGCCCAGGATGACCTAGAATTCACAGCTTGAGGCTGGTATCACAGGATGGTGTCACCACATTCAGTGACTTTTAGCTTTTAAAGCAGGTTAATCCTCTGTCTGGTCATCTTTTGATGGAGACATTCTCTACACACTGAGTGCAGAGGCATAGATTCTTCTAGGATTGAGAGAGAGAGAGAGAGAGAGAGAGAGAGAGAGAGAGAGAGAGAGACCCTGTGGGGGTGGGATACGTTTTTTCATATATAGGTTCATCAAAATGGGAAGAGGCAGCTGGAGACCTTACTCCAGTTTGGCTCACAGCTCTGTTCTGTGAGCAGGTCACATCAGCTCCTTGAGAATCTTTTATTTATTTTTTAGCTTTAAAATTTATTTATTTTTATTTTATGTGGATGAATATATTGCCTGTATGTATGTATGTAAGTGCACCTGTGTTATGCAATACCCATGGTCAGAAGAGGGTGTCAGATCCTTTGGAACTGGAGTTATGGATGATTGTTAGCTGCCATGTGAGTGCTGGGAATCCAACTCGGGTACTCCGCAAGAACAGCCAGTGCTCTTAATAGCTGAGCCATCTCTCTAGCCCCTCCTTAAGAATCTTTATCTAGATGAGTGGGGAAGTCTGCTGTTCTCCTGTCATGACATGAGTGCTCTATGTTGCCAAAGAGTTGCACATCTCAGTCTCATTAGGGACATGTCTCCCTTCCCAGGAGGCCTCACATGGAACAGAGACCTAGCTTTGCATTGTTCCTCTCATCATGTTCCTGGTGAACACCTAAAGGCTGAGTTCCCATCTCATCTGAGACAAGCCTCAACATATGGCAGAAAGGGCTTGGAAGCCAACCAGACCTGGGCCCAGTTCTGCCTCTGCTGTTCAATCACTATGTATATCAGACAACCCTTGAACTCAGAGGAATCCAATGTTCTCTGTTGGCAAAATGGGCAAGGTCATAGCTACTAACTACAGTTGTTGAGGTTTCCGTAAGATGACATTGTAGAGTACATGGGCCTGATTACTTATTGTCATTTCCTATTACTTACCATGGCACTTAGCACTCGGCCAACATATTTGGGGTCATTTCTGCGGGCCACATCGGTAGTGGGGTCACGGCGGAAATTCAGACTCTTATCTAAGATGGAGATGCTGATGTTCAGAATGTCTTCTTCAAACTGTTAAGAATGGGACTATGTTATGATGAAAGAAATGGCTAGTGGTGCCGGTTAATTAAGAGAACAAGAGCCACAGTAGTGCGGACCACAGGACCTACCCAAGCCCTTTCACCCCATGGCTTCCAGAACCAAGAACTATAGAGATACAGCCACTGTGCCCAGCCAGTACCCAGAAAACTCACCCAGAACTCTCATTATGTAAGAGCCTGAACCCACTGCCCTAAAGTGAGTGGGCGGCAGCAGGGGGTAGTCTACTCCCAGCTTGCCACGGAGTCAGAAACAAGTTTTAGCCTGTCTGGCCTTGGTTTCTCTATCTGTTTAATGAGGGATCAGGCTAAACTCATCTCAAAATTTTCTTGTGGCTGTGACTGTAATCTTGAGTATGTTATTTAGATTCTTGGGAACCTAAGTATAAATATAAAATGTGCAGTTAAAGACATATCTAAAGCTATTTTCACAAAATAAGACATGCATTAATTGTTTCTCATGCTGGCTCTTCTTGCCTTAAGTTTGCTTTTCCTTCTTCCTGGAATGGTCTTCTTGAAGATAGCTAGCAGCCTCTCTTACCTCCTTCAGGTTCCTGATCAAAAGAGCCTTCCTAAGAAAGGCTTTCTTAAACCATCCCACCAAAAATAGCCCCCCTGGGGCCCCTAGGTGTATTATGTGCCCTTACCCCTCACCACTTTCTTCCTTTGAATGAAATCTGTCACATAAACCCAATAGAGAAAACTTGCTCTGGTTGGCTACATAATGGAGCCTGGGATGGTCATACACCTGCCCATCCACTCCTAGATAGGATATGCAGGTACCCTGGCTGCCCAAAGTACTCCATTCTAATGCTTTGTCTCCTGCAAAAAGAAAAGTTTCTAAGCTGAGCAAGCCTGGGAACTCTCTGGACTCAGGTAGTAATGTAAAAGAAAGACTGCGGCTTTGAGAGGCGAAGAACACACAGTGACGGTGCCTCACCACATTTTTACGTGGAGTGAAAAGCAGAAGCTACATTACTGTCCTGAGGGTCTTTTACTTATTTGCGTGCCATCACTTCAGAACTACTTCACTGCATCAATTCAGTAACGAGTTCATCTTGCCTGCTAGGTTGTGATCTCTTCAAGATAGGGAACTTGTTCATCTGTATCCTTAGTGTCCCACTCAGGGTCTGGAACTGTGTAGACGGTCAACAAATGTCTTCCAAATCGATGACTGGATAGAAGGGCAGGAAAATGGACATTACCCTGGCCTCCTTATGGTCCTTTACCTGTCCAAAGTTCCAGCCAACCATGCCAATTCGATTTGTACTGCCCACATAGATGATGCCAGAATCTTCTTCAACATATTCTTGTCTCTCAGCCTGGTTACTCATAAAGACATCATCCGCTGTTTGACACAAAAAAGCAGATAGCAAGGGCTAGAATCCCACAGAGGACCAGTGAGATCAGTCCCCCCCGCCCCCGGGCTGTTGTGGGATTTAGAGTAAGAGTCACTTCTTCCAATCTCTACTGAAGTATGAACTCTTGGCTGTAATGTTTCAAACTCTCCTTGTGGGTAGCTCAGGCTGAAAAGAGAAGCTGAGCTGACCTAGGAGAATGAAAATTAGAGCCAGGGATGAGATATTTGCTATTTCAGCCAGAAGGCTGTTGCTACACTATAGAATTTTACTATAGTCAGTGTCTCTTATGACTTATCATGCTCTGCAGTGTATAAAAGCTCACGTGATCTAAATGGGAGCCCCAGAAGAAACAGTGGGTTGTCCACGTAATGGGGAAGAACTTGAGGATGAGACCAATAGAGTAACTGCCCGGAGTCACACAGCTAGGTAAGTGACAGAGCTTCTGCTCTGCCAACAGCCCCAAACTTTCTCCAGTCAGACCTGAGACTTCCCCACCCTTCTCTCTTTTCCACACTTATTGCAACTATCAGGGCTGTATGGGACTGTAGTGGTTAGAGACCTACCTTGCAGCCATGGGTTAAAGAGCAGTATGAATGTCCCAAGTCTCATAGAGGAGACTCTGCCCCTGGAAGAGATCTGAATATCCAGTGTGTACCATCCTATGGGTGCATTGACAGGACTGGCAATGGCAATGGTCAGATTATTCCCATTGTTGGCTCTGATCTCTGCATTCCATCCACCTGTACTCTCCCCGGAAACTGAAAATGTAGCCTTTGTCCTGGCTGACTCTGAGGGGTGAGGGCCTGTCAAAGAAACAGAGTGTGAAGGAAACAAAAGGTTGCTGGTTAGACCATGGGGAGAAATCAGGCTCCTGGTGCAGCTGCAGGGCCCTCTAGGGTCTTTATCCAATGAAGCACCTCATCATAGTACTTGAGGTACCTGGAGGGACCATGTAGGCCACATCCTTCTTGATTTGGAGATGATAATTCTTATGCTCAGAAATGTGCTGCCACAAGCCCAAGGTCACCCCAGATCAATGCTAGAGCTGTGCAAGAGCCCAAAGGACAGTAATCCCATGTGGTAACTGTGTGTGTGTGTGTGTGTGTGTGTGTGTGTGTGTGTATGTGTGTGTGTGTGTGTGTGTATGTGTGTGTGTGTATGGTGAGGGCAGCCAGCAGGTACCTGTAGAGACGGTGAAATCCAGACTTTCTCCAGACTCAAGACTTCGGTTATAGATTATTATGATCTCCAAAGGTTGTCCTCTCCTCACAATGAGCTCTTGGCTAGAGAACTTATCTGTGTGATGTGCCCTCCGGTTGGCACTCATCTGCCAGTTGATATTTTGGACCTCTAAAGCTGTGAGATAGAAAACAGAACCTAAAGTCCTGAGGGGTAAGGGAAAGGGTGCAGCATACTGAAAAGGGAGCCATGGGTGAGGAGGCAGGGTAGAGGTCAGTTTCTAGAAGGAACTGCGTTAAAGCACAAAGACTTCGATTCTGCATAGTAGAATGGTCACCCTTTGTTCTTACTCGATCTTTCTGTACTCACATGCTCCAACTTACATGACTCAAGATCAAACAAATTTAATGTCCTTTCAGATGGCTTAACTTCTCTACACACTGTTCCCTCTGCTCAGAGTCTTCTTTGTCCTCTTGGTGACCTGTCACTTAGGCCTTAAGGAGTAGGCCAAACACTCAGAGAAGCATCACTTAATCAGCTAGAAGGATTGTGTCATCAAGTGTTGGGGACATGGCTCAGTGAGCACTTGCTGTGCAAGCACGAGGGCCTAAGTGCAGATCCTCAGCACCCACATAAAAATTCAGGTGTGGTGGTGTGGATCTGTAAGCCCAGTGCAGGAGGGTAAAGATGGGAAAATCTCCAGGGCTTGCTGACCAGCCAACCTAGAGGAAACAATGAGCTCCAGGTTCAGTGAAAGACCCTGTGTCAGAAAATAAGGTGGGAAGCAATTGAGGAAGACACCTGATGTCAACACCTGCACATGGCCAAGCACAGCCCCATACACAGGGACACCATCTCTATCCTACACAGAATAGAAGGGAAAGGAGAGAGAAAAGAGCTGCGTCATCTGAGTGGAGGACATTTCTCTCACATCTCACACAAGTGCCTTTGATCACTCTTCATATTCAGAAACATGCACTCATGCATTCTTTATGTTTGCAAGGACTTTGGTGGTAGCTGTGGTCTTTGATGCTAGAGAGACTAGTCATAGGTCTAAGCAGAACTGATAGGTCTGGAGATTGGGGAATCTCAGCAGAAGGGGGCTGAACAGAAGAGCAAGTCAACGTCTTATGAAATCTCTGACTATGACTCCAAGGACAAATGTCTCAAATCCACCCTCTTCCACTTCTCACACGATTGTGGAGGCAACAGAGCCAAGCCACATTGGGCTTAAGAGAGATACCATGACATATGAGGGAGTTAGCTCAAACAAACCTGAAGAGAAATCTTATTCCTTTGAGTTATGTCAGGGATGTTCCATCACTCATTCCTATGCAAAACAAACTGGTCTCTTTTTATGATGATGTACAAAAAGTATATGATGGCACATTCCAGTGTCAGACACCATTCCCATTTATGTGTGTTGATAACCAATTCAGTGGAATGTGTCTTCTTTATGTTCTGATGCCTAGCACATCACTTGACTGATTAGATACACAGTGAATGAAGGAATCCACGAACAGACTAAAGTCATAAAATAAACATCATGAGTACAACTCAAAATGAAGTCTGTATAGTAGGGTGAATGTGGGGTATTCACTTTATACACACACACACGCACTTCCCATATATGTTTATGACACCTATTATTTGTAAGGCACTGTTAGACACAACGTTGGGAGCAGAAACATGAGACAGGCAGTTTGACAATTTACAGGGCTTCTTCAGTAGGTAAGACAAGTGTAAGTAGTAATGGCTAATGGCATGAGATGAATCCATTCTCTCAACTAAAGGCACATGGGAAATGCAGCCAAGAGAGGAGCATTTTTCAGGTGTAGGGATCAGAAAAGGCTTCAGTGAAAATGCCTGACCTTAAAAAAGACATAAAAGTGGCAAAAATACTCAACATACCCAATCACCACGGCAGTAAGAATTATTACTGCTAAAAAGATGAATGATAAGTGCTCGTGAGGAGGCAGAGAAAAGGCAGTCCTTGCACACTGTTGGTAAGAATTGAAATTATTATAGTACAGACATTATGGAAAATAGTAGAGAGGTCCTCCAAAGCAAATTAAAAATGAAACTTCCCTGTGAATTAGAAATCCCACTACTGGGTATGTATCAAAAGGAAATTAAATCAGTATATTGAAAAGTATTTTGAAAATCTTCACCTTCATGTTAATTGAAACATATTTTTTGAGACATGATCTTGTTATGTAACCAAGCTGGTCTGGGTCTTGCTACATATTCCAGGCTCACACTCATGATTTTCTTGTCTCAGTCTCCTGAGATTGCAGGTATGTACCACCACACCCAGCTTATTTCAGCATTATTTACAGCAGCCAAGAAATAAGAACAACCTAAGTATCCATGGATTCGTGACTGGTAATGTGGTATCTACACACAATGAAATGTTACTCAGCCACACACACAAATGATATCTCATTGTCTGGGACAAGCATGGGTAGAACTAGAGGTCATTATATTAAGAGCAATAAAACATGATCTTATTGAATTGTGGAATACGTAGTTGATCTCATAGAAGCTGAGGACACAAGAGTGCTTGCCAGAGCCTAGGGAGCAAGAGGGAGTGGGCAGCTGGAGAAATGCTGACCAATAAGTACCAAGTTACAGTTAGAGATGAGTAAGAAGCTTTTTGATTGTTTTCACCACAGAGAAATGATAAGTATTTGAGGAGATGGATATATTTAACCTGACTTAAACATCATACAATGTATACATGTGGCAAATCATCATATGGTTCCTCCTAAGTATGTATAATTTCTGTAGGCCATGAAAAGAAAGAATTTTTATCAGGTGCCAAAGGAAAAACTGCATTCCAGACAAAGAAGGAGAGGCCCCAAAGTCACAGAAAAGTGAGGCACATTGTGTGTCTAGAGAAGAGGCCCTGTTCCGAAGGAAGGAGAATGGAGGATTTGGGCAGGGTTAGGAGGTAGACGCCCACCACAGTACGTAGAGACCATAGAGCGACCAGGCAGATGGTCTCTTTCTCTGGTGAGCCTAACACTGCTTTTGGAGAAAAGGGTAAACTATGTGATCTTGCCACTGGCTCAAAGTACTAAAGTTTTATTCATCATATATACTGTCATTCATTTATTTGTCCAACAAGAACTTTTTGGAAGAATAAGCTAATACACTTTATAAAAATCCAGGGAAACTGTAATATTTATGCAGTCAAGAATCTATTGAATGAAGGGTAAAGGGAAGACCCGAAGAACAATAGGAGAGAGGGGAAACACAACAACATTCCTGCACACAAGCACCAAATGGAGATATTTCAGACCTGAGACACTGTCTGTCAGATGCTGAGCTGTACTGAACTTTGTATAGCTGGGGTGCTAGGTACTAGGTCTATCAAAGACAAGGCTCTTCAACTTTTAAAAGCCCTGCCTCCTATAACTTTACTCACTATCTTCTGAGCATCCTAGCTGTTGGCAGTTGGTAGAGCTTTACTCTGTCTTGTTTTAAAGAAAAGAAAGGCTTTATGGAACAGATGATTTCAGGCCTCGTGAACCTCCCCAGAGATTCTTCATCCCCCAAATGATGTATGAACTTCTCCAGGTAAAGTTCACTCTGCTAGACCGTGCACACTTTGGGAGCAGAAAGTGCACCCCAGGTGCCCCTCTGCTGAGGACAGAGGAAAGAGATGACAGGAGTGTTCCACATGTATGGTTAGCATGTGCCTCCTTCCAACAAGTCTATGTTCTTTGTTCTACTAAAGGTGATGCTCTCTGTTGCAGGAGTGTCAATAATAAGTCTCTCTTCTTCTTTCCAGAGATCAGTGACTTGTACATGATAGAAATGACCAAGATGGCACTGAACTTCAGGGTCACTAGGCTGTAGAGACCCTGTCCCCCCCACTAGTGACGCAGTAGAAGGGTCAAACCCAGTGTGATTTTGGTGGTGATGATCAAAACATTAACTGGTTTACTAGGTACTGATGTTCCTGCCATCATCTCAAGTCCTGTCCGTGCCTTAGCTCATTCACCCTTGTACCTGTGTTCGTAGTCACAGTTTTAAAGATGAAGGAGTCAAAGCTGGAGAAGCCTTGGTCATAGTTTCCCCATTCCTGAGTTGGGGACTGCAGGTACAAGAGTCATCATTTCTGCCTCTCCTGACACCAAGTGTCTGCTCCCCATGGGGGAGTGTGGGACATACAAGGGCACCCTGAACTGAAGAGGAAAAGGCGGGCTGACATTTGTCACTATTGTGCAGTGCATCAACTGTTGACAGCACACAGAATTCTTTATGTACGTCATTGATGAACTCTGACAACAGAAAACAAGCTCAGGAGACAACACACTATCCAGTACAAGTTGGCACAATCCGGACTGTGAACCTAGGTGCGACACAATCAGAAATTGGTATTTGGTCTCTACCTTTTCCTGGCACAAGACTTCTAAAACCCTTGCAATCTTGAAAGGATGAGTGTCTTTTTTAAGGTAATGAGATAACTGGTGACTGGGAGCTTCTGGGTAGCCTCAGGATGGCAACTGTTTGCCCAGAAAACCAACCATGTGATTCTATGGCTAGAGCTTCTAGGAAAGGGAAGACTGGAGATTGATTAAACAGTTATGGTTATCAGTAATCACTGACTCTGTAATTAATTAGCTATACCGATGAAATGAAGCCTCCTTAAAAATCTGAAAGGATGGAGTTTGGAGAGCTTCCATGCTGGAGAAAACAGGACTGCTGAGGATGTGACTTAGTGGGAGAGGACATACCATGCCCTTCACACTTCTAACTGCCTGAGTTGTGTCCTTTGATAATAAACAGATAATCTACCAAATACACCATTTTCCTGAGTTTTTAAAAGATATTCTAATAAATCTTTACACTTGAGTGGAAACCTCCCCCCATTTTATAGCTAGTTGATCAAAAACACAGGTAATGGGGATGGTCTTGTGAAACTAAGCCCTTAACCTATGGAGGCTGTGCCAAGAGTTAATGTCTTTTTTAAGGTAATGTGATAACTGGTGACTGGACACATAGTTGGTGCTCACTGAGAATGAGATAAGTGCTCGGTGTGGGCAGACCTTACCCATTCAGGAGCTAGAAGTACTGCAACCAGACTAGGAGGAAACAGTGCTCCTTTTCACCAGAGCTCACTGACTCTACTCTGCCACTGAGCCTCTAGTTCTCCTGGGAGTGGGTCC